GGCCGGAGCTGGTCGTAACCCGAAAAGTTTGTTAACAGAGGCGTTCGTAACCTTAGGTACCACTGTATATGTCAAAATGACTGTATTAGCTACAATTTCTATCCTGTTTTCAAGTCCATGGTGCATTCCAGTTACTAAATGGGCCAAAACTATTCTAATTTAGAACAGTATATATTATTAGCATTCTACTGTGAGATATAGAGTGCCAGTCTGATGTAGCGGTTAAGGCATCAGACGGGAGACCGTGAGTTCTAGTCCCACCTTAGGCATAAAGCCAACTGGGTGACCTTGGGCCAGTCACTCTTTCAGCCCTAGGAAGAAGGCACTAGCAAAGCACTTCTGAAATCTTCCCAAGAAAACTGCAAGCACTAATCCAGGCAGTTGCAAGTAGTCAAAAACTGACTTGAAGGCACAAAAACAAACAAAAAAATTATGGCCATTGGTTAAATGAACTCTACATTAGAGCTCATACAGATGTCAGTTACATGAAGATCTTAAGCTAAGATTGGTGGAGTTTTTACAAGACTGTTCTTGAAGGTGATGATTAGCAAGGTATTGGAAACAAATCCAGCCTTTTGCCACTGCAGCTCTAAAGTAGGAGATGGGAGTGGAAGTTCACAAGCTCAAACATTTTTTAGCAGAGGAATCAACAGGGATGGGGCTATATACAGTGCATTTGGAAAGTATTCAGACCCCCTTCACTTTTTTCAATTTTGTTATGTTGCAGCCTGATACTACAATCGTTCATTTTTTCCCTCATTAATCTACACTCAGTACCCCATAATGACAAAGTGAAAACAGAATTTTAGAAATGTTTGCAAATGTATGCAAAAAGGAAATATTCAGACCCCCTTCACTTTTTTCAATTTTGTTATGTTGCAGCCTGATACTACAATCGTTCATTTTTTCCCTCATTAATCTACACTCAGTACCCCATAATGACAAAGTGAAAACAGAATTTTAGAAATGTTTGCAAATGTATGCAAAAAGGAAAAACTGAAATATCACATTGGCATAAGTATTCAGACCCTTTGCAATAACACTTGAAATTTAGCTCAGGTGCCTCCCATTTCTCTTGATAGTTTCTGAGCTGTTTCTACACCTTGATTGGAGTCC